ATCATTTTCCAGACGGTTCTGCTATGATTAGTGTCTGGCGAAAAACTTCAGCAGATATTTCCTTTGCAACATTTCAACCAACAATTGGTCCAGTTATCAACGCTATTTTCAAGTTTTGAACAACTCGACTTTCAAGATCTACATATCTACGTGTGCCAATGTTTCCGTTCATCTACGTTATATTTTAAGATCTGTGCAAGAACTCAGCTAACAGATGTTACCGCATATAAAAGCTATCTTCAAGTTTTGTACATCAAAAAAACTTTTTTGTTTTCTGTTTTTTTTTGTCTGTTTTCCTAAAATATAATCATGAATCTCATATTATATTTTTTCCTTTTATTACCAATCAGCTTTTGTTCATTTGAAGCCACAACTAGAATATTCCAATTATATGGTTTGTATCCCACACCGAACTTTTCTATGCCATAAATACACATAATATTACGTAAGAAATATCAATAAACTACATATTAGACATAGCTAATGACTTAAAATAAGCTTTTGAAAGTTGTAATTAGTAGTCGTGTTCATTCCATAAAACAGGATAAAACATCAATAGGAACACATAAACAGTTTGTAATTACTTTTGTCACTTTGCTCGTATACATTATAATAGAACTGGATGCAAAGACCCAACATCAAGGAATATAAAATGATTTAAATATGCTACATCAGAAACACAACAGCAGAAAAACAGAAAATGATTTAAATATACTACACCAGAAACACAACAGTCAAGAAGCTTTCTACCTCGACTGCTTCTATTACCAACAGACTAATTTCAGTATCATGTTCAGAGCTTCCACAAAACTCCTACTGAAACATGAAATCTCGCCACAATCTCTTGGATGAGGTAGTCTTTTTCCAACCAAAGTTTTGACTTCTACGTGTTTGTCACGTGGTGTTTATGTCCATGGATTCTTGAATATGTCATCGTAGTACTGCTGTTAATAGTTTTTATGACCGTAATTATATCTGATTCTGCCGATATGGGAATGTTTAATTATTTTACACCCTTTATTTCAATAATCATTTCAAGTGCTGTATATATATATATTGCCTCTTAGGAGCTTGTTTTCTTTAAAGTTTGACTAATATGGCGGGTATAAGTAACCATCTTTGCTTCTATGGCATTCTGTCCTCAGTCTATTGAACCCACTAGAGTTAAGAATGTAAACTTACCGGTAGACAGTTTATTTACACTTTCAAATCTAGAGTACTGGTGTGCCCAGTGTAAATTATTAGAAGTATGTACTTTTATACTAAGATAAATTTTGAGCTCTTTAAATTATCAAAAAAAATCATTTTTATACACTTGACTGTAATCTCTATTGTTGTTCTTTTCAGGATGTTTTCTGTGAAATTGTGTGCAAGATGTCATTTAGTAATCGCATCAAACGAGCTGGTAATGTGTGCACGTGAGTTTGTCTACCACCTCCACTGCTTCACTTGTGCCACTTGTAATAAGTCCTTCACTAAAGGGGAGTATTTTGGTCTGAAAGATAACATTATTTATTGTCGACTCCATTACGAGCTGTTGATACACTACACGCTTCCATATAGTTTTTCTGGTAATGAAATAAGTCCCGTCACTAGATTTCAACCTGGTTCCAACCAAACTGTTTACGAAAACGTAGCCCTTGACAATAATCTTTGTCCCTCCAACAGTGAAGAATTAAGCCTATCTCGTCACATGACAATCCCAGAATCCTTAGTAGCCACGCATGTCCCGATTAAAGGAAAAACAAAGAAGCGAAAAGGAAGCAATCCAGTCACAAACAGAGGTAAATATTTATAGTTTTATGATCTAAGTTCATTGAAATTCATTTTTTCATGATATCTTCAACAAATATGGTTGACTTACTGGTCAAATGGTCGAGGAAGCAAGAAAAAAAATTGCTTGTATTTTGTGCATTATTAAATCAAGAATTCATAGAAACGATAACTTCTTTGTGTCGCTCTATCATTCTGTAGAAGTTTATTGTGTGTCCTCATTACATTTTGTGTACGTGGTTTTCAAAAGGTGTTCCACATTACCAGTCGTATTTTCACAGCATGATTATTATGTTATCCCTTCTTAATACTCGTACCGTAAGGTCTTTCAACATGATTATTGTGTTAGCCTTTTGTGTTACACGTATAATAATAGAGTTCAACATGATTATTGTGTTAGCCTTTTGTGTTACACGTATAATAATAGAGTTCAACATGATTATTGTGTTAGCCTTTTGTGTTACACTTATAATAATAGATTTCAACATGATTATTGCGTTAACACTTTGTTTTACATGTATAATAATAGATTTCAACGTGATTATTGCGTTAACACTTTGTTTTACATGTATAATAATAGATTTCAACGTGATTATTGCGTTAACACTATGTTTTACATGCATAATAATAGATTTCAACATATACGTTGGCATATACGTAAACACGAAGAATTTACTGGAAATGCCAGTACACATTTACTTTCATGTTGAAATATTTAATGTATGACAAGTTGGCATACACGTAAACATGAAGCATTTACTGGAAATGCCAGTACACATTTACTTTCATGTTGAAATATTTAATGTATGACAAGTTGGCATACACGTAAACATGAAGCATTTACTGGAAATGCCAGTACACATTTACTTTCATGTTGAAATATTTAATGTATGACAAGTTGGCATACACGTAAACATGAAGCATTTACTGGAAATGCCAGTACACATTTACTTTCATGTTGAAATATTTAATGTATGACAAGTTGGCATACACGTAAACACGAAGAATTTACTGGAAATGCCAGTGTACATTTACTTTCATGTTGACTCATGATCTAAGCAAACTTTATGTGATCAGCCCGACATTGCGTTACAAATACATGCAACGCTCATTGAAAATTAAATATTAGTTGTTTGTAGTTTGTGTTCACTTTCAGAATTACGCTAGTTAAAAATTTTTTTTGTATTTTTCATTTCATTAGAGCTGGTTGATTGTTTGTTTTTTAAGACGTAAAGCTCAACAATTAACCTACAACACTTGCCTTACACTGAAGCCTAACACATTTTACAATTAACCTACAACACTTGCCTTACACTGAAGCCTAACACATTTTACCATTATAAGCATTCAAGCTTATCACTGAATCGCCCACCGGTGTGCTGTTATAAAGCAAGTCGTATACAGCTGTCAAGTTAATTCCTTTCCGTTGAAATATTTACCTTAGTTTATTTGCAGTCTTCTGTTAGTTAGCATTTAACGATAAATTAAAACCAAAAGCACAATATACAGTTCGAAGGAAAACGAAGTTTGATAATAAACAAGATTACGACACTTATGATATAGAACATTGTCTATTAACAAAAAAGGGACATAGATAAACGTTTCGGAATTCTATCAGATTCCATCTTCAGTATCTAAAGCAAAATAAAATTAATTTACATAAGTCTTTGGTCATTGCTAAAGTACAAATGCTAAATTTAACGATAATTAAACAAACACTGAACAACATGCAGTCTTCATTTAAATTATAGATTTTTTAATATGTTCGTATTACTGATTTTACGTTTTGTTGCTGTTGTTGTGTTTTCTTGCTGTAGTTTCACCCCATGATTACTGTTTGGTGTTTTATTTGTTTAATTATTGTTAAATTTAGCAACTGTACTTAACAATGTCCAAAG